TCAAACCTGAGATCTCCTGCATGCAAAGAAGAGACCTTCACTGAGCTGTGGCTTTCTTAAGGGATGACTCGTCTCTTTTGTCCATAAGAGGACAGGAAAATGGAAAACTCCTCACACCATTGGTCTGCTTAGTTTTCCATTCTCACTAATCTACAGGTCTGAGGTTCCAAACGGCTCCATCTCTTACCCTGTAACAAGCGATTCCTACTCCCAGCCATGTGAGACAAGAAGGTGATTTCTTACTCGCCAGAAGGTAAATGTGCTTTGCTTTGTCATACTGCAGGAAAGAAAAGAGGGAGTAATTACTCTCCAAGCTGTGGCTATTTAGGAGTGCCTCCTCCTTGCTTGTTGTCAAAAGCTTCCTGCAGCTATTCAAATGGAAAGAACCATCCAGAGGTTATTAGCAGCTGTTTCAACATGACTTGCTCAAGGCGGGTGGTTAGAAAAGGCTCATAAAACTTCAGAAATAATCACAGAAAACAGGATGGCGTTATAGAGCCTACGTCGGCCATGAGAAAAGCAAAATCCAAAACTCAGAGGCAATGCCTTTGTAAGGCGAATGGAAGCATTATGGAAGGATTGCATATGAAAATAGCTTTGACCCATGGCTGGAACGTATTTTTTCCCAAATGGGAAATGTATAAACATTTGCTTCTTTCTTCTACCCAACCAGTTTTGGGGGTAAGAACCTGGTCAAGGAAATAACAATAACAATAATAACAATAATAATAATTGGAAATAATTGCTTCTTATTCTATTGCCCAGATTACACAAACCAGCAAGACCTGAAACTGAACATTAGCAGAGCACAGAGCCTGCACAGAGGGCACACGCAAACCCCAAACTCAACAGATCAACTCCAACTTCTCAACATAATATAATAGTTGGACATCAGCATTAACAGCATTAGCAGTGAGTTAGCTAGGTGGTTGCAACAATCCTGTTCTTTTTCCTCTAGCAACAGCGCAGTGCCCACAATTGCTCGTCAGTTCTGAATCATCTGTTATTTTGACCCAACGCATTGCCCACCACATTCCTCTATCCAGTCTAACAGCAGCAGGAACATGAACAGTCCCTCCTGTTGTGCAGGCTAGACTGAACATTTTAAAAGCAAGCAGTAACTGAATCACAAGTCATAAAACACAAATCCAGTCACAGAACCTGGAACTGCCCAGACCTCTCAAACAGCCAAATTTTGTTCTGAACTGAAAACAAAACTCTCCAAAGAGATATGTTGTGTTCCAAGCTCAAAACTCTCAAAAGGAACACTTGGAGCTCATAATCATTTGAGTGCAGAAAGTTTTGCACAACTCCACTGAAATAACTGAAGTCCTGAGGAATTTCACTACACAAAATGTACAAGTCACAAGGTCCAACTATTCCCTTTCAAACTTCCTATTCCTTTGTGTTGCTCTGGGAAGCCTCCAAAGAAAGGTCTGCTATCACAGTCTCCCTCTATGATTAATAAATAATAATAAATTCAACTTGTATGCCACCTGACTTCCAACAACTCTGGGTGGCTCACAACCATTGAAGAAATTGCAAGAAATTTTCTCCTTTGCCAAAGAAAGAAGTTTAGAAGAACTTCATGGCTCTTCTAAACAACACCAGAGTGGGGGCCATCTGGATCTCGGGGAGAACCAAGATGCTGTTCCTGCCCATCAAAGTTCTATGTAGCAATCATCTCAAGATCATGAAACCACCAGGCTCTTGTCTGTCCCATTTCTACCTGCGCACCTCCTTGCCTTCCAGATAGATGGACCCCAATCGCAGATACACAAAATGCATATCCTTCGCATCCGTCACAAAGCTGATTGTGCGTTCGTAGCAGGACTTTGCTTCACTGAAGTTCCTGGTCAGGTAGCAGAGGTGGCCTTTTTGAGCCCAAACCTCTGGATTCTGCAGAAGTAGCAGAGAAATGGAGAAGTTAAGCCTGACCTGTGGAGGCTGGCAATGAATCAGTACTTTTTCCCTAAGTAGGTGATAGAGGTGGTGAGTGGGGAGTTCTGATATGATGAGGGTTCTAAGCTGGGGAGGTTTACAGAGAAGAGCTCACTCTACCCAAGAGCCAGGACTGTTGGAGAATTTTAGTCCACTAGATCTGGAAGGGAAGATGGTCTAGAGTAGAGCTGGTCAATCTGCCATTGGGAGTTGGAAAATATCTGGGGAGACAAACACTAGCAATGATTTTAAGGTGGGATGGGGGAAGCCTAAACTCTTCGCCTTCACAGCAATGTAGATGGCTACATTCCTGCTGCTGATGAGAGCAGAACCAGCATGGCTGGCTGGGGAATTCTGGGAGTTGAAGTCCACACATCTTCAAGCTGCCAAGGTTGAGAAACACTGCTCTAGTGAGTTGCTGGCAGGCAGCCTCCCAATCATTTTCCCCACAACTTTGCTCAGCTACTAGTATAATTGGGGCTGACATGGTTGGTAGAAAAAGCAGGAGGAGCTCCCTGCAGTTCTGCAGATCGCTGTTTTTGTCACTGGGGGCCTCACAAGAACTACAGTCCACTTCATCACATGCGTAAGTATTTATCATACCAGGGTGTGTGTTGTGTGTGTGTGTGTGGGGGGGGGTGACATGAGCGTATATTCAAATACATGCATTGAGGGCCCCTGTGGATGTAGAGTAGAAAAAACTGCAGATGGTAGGGTCACAGGGTCATGAAATGAAAGAATAAAGCCATGGCCTCCTTGAGCCGATGTGCTCTACTTGGGGGCCTGAATATTACAAAGGAATCTTGGGTAACTGGAGATGGGCCAAGAGCCCCCAAGGGCTAATGAGAGATACGCACCAGGTAATCAATCTGCACAGCCATCTCCAGGCTCTCTTCTGCCTTGTCATATTCCTTCCTGAGCAAGTAGGTCTGGGCCAGCACCAAGTAATAATCACAGCTGGGGCCTCCTTGAGGGCAGATCAACTCATGTGCCAGCGCCCTGTGAACAAACTGGAAGGAGAGGGCCAACTCCCAGCTGCATCATTGCTGTCCATTTGAATCCCAGGCTGTCCCGCCTTGCTACTCCTAGTCTTCTTTCCTACTGCTGTGATTCTCTTTGGGACTGCCTCTCCCCCTACCTGGGAGGTTTCCAGAGCCTGGTTCTGCCTTCCAGCTCTGACTCTACCTCCAAAATGCAGTGCAGGGAAACAGAGCTGGCAGGGAACGCCTCTGCCTCCATCTACTGGCCTTTGGAAGCAGTGCATTCTGCCAGCTGGGGAGGCATCTGCTAAGCTCTACCCGAGACTGACCTTGTCACTGTCTGTCACAGCCTGATATGAACCACACAATCTAGTCTTTAACTCAGTGAGCCTTCATGTCCATATCTTGTTTTTCCAGAAGAAAGGGTAAGGATGAACTTAAGGGTGAGGGGACGGATCAACTGTACTTTAACATGGCGCAGCTTAGGCTAACTAATTTTTCGCCTTCACAGTGGCTTACAAGACCTCCAACTGTTAGGTTTGCCCAATTCTCTAAGCCATAGCTGATTTTCAAACTGCAATGGCTTGGTTTGTACATTCTGCCAAGCCACAACCAAACCAACCACATTCTGGCTCAGGGCAATGTATGAATTGGGCCACAGCCATTTTCTGTCCATTCTGCTCTGCAAAGCACAGCGGTGACTGGGCACATTCCTTAAAAAGCCCTTAGATCGTACAGAAGCCCTTTCAATAGGGCAAAGAACAGACCAGGCTCCGAGACAACGGGCAAAACCTTCAGGCAAATGAAGATGCCGTCTTAACCATCTTAAAAACCACAGAGCAGTAAAAGGAGCAGAGAGAAACTAAAGTGAAGAAAGCAGTGTGCAAGGATTTATAACTAGGAGACCATTTTAAATAATTTAATAGTGAAGTCAAGACAAAGGGAAAAAGAAGGGAAGAGACACAGCAATTACAGGGGAATATTGGGAGTCAGTTCTTTTTAAAAAAAAAGCCAACCATTTTCTCCTAGATTCTTTCTTCATGAGTTTCAAACAGCTTGAGAAACCCAATGCTACTCTCCGTCCTCATGATGTTTTCACTTTGTCTCAGCTCCAGACAGTGATTTGCTTTGCTCAGCTACAGAACAGAGTGGACAGCAGAGAGATTCAGGACTATTTCTCAATGCACTGGCAGCTTTTTCTGTCTGCACAGCAAGTGTTTGGTTCTACCAAGTTTCCTTACTATGGAAAGGCTCTTAGAGAAAATAGGGAAGTACTATGGTTAAGCTGAGAAAAAGGAAAAGGGCAATATTCTAGAAGTAATGGCAATCAGGGATGTTATTTAGAAAGGATCCCAATCTACGGCCCCAAAATATGGGAAAAGATTCTGGGTATCCAAAATAGAGACTGCATCAAGAAACGGGGGGTGGGGGGAGTAATACACTGAAGTTCAGATGAATGAGTGGGGAGAAATAAGTAAGCCCGATTTTAATAGAACTAAAAAAAATAATTTCTCTTTCCGTGTTGGCATGTGTCTTTGGAGTTCAAGACAAGATGCAGTTTAATAATAATAAAAAATCCCTGATCACCAGATCAGTCTCTCTTAATCACCTCCCCCCCTTACCAACACATCACAAAACAAGTATGTGTGACCTTAACCCTGCTCTCTCTGACTCTGTGGCTGGAACAGAAAAAGAGTTGGTTGGTTGTTACATCAGTGGAAGTATACACTCTCGGCAATGCCTAACTCAGTGTGCCTGAACATTTTCATGGCCTCCTCCAGCCTCGGTTGACCCTGTCCTCACCTGAAGGGCATTGACGTCCAAGAGGAAGTTTATTGTCTCCATGAAAATGGTGGCGACGGGCTGGGTGAAAATTGCTGGGCTCAGCGTTGTTTCAAGTGCAACTGCAACAGGTTTGGGCATTTCTGAAATGAAACAGAGAGAGCAAGGAATTCAAGAGAAATGCCTAAATACAGAAACAGAGGTTCAGTGGTTTTTCTTTGCTTCCTAGTGCTTCATTAAGGAAATGGAATTTCAGTTCTGGAACCTTGTTTTGCACCCTTGCATTGAGTATGCAGCTGGACCTCGATATTTATTTGAGTCGTGCAGCAGCGTCGGCAGAATCTGGCTGCTTTCATCAGAATGACAAAAGCAGTGTTGCAGCATCGGGTTGCAAGCTCCGTGTGTGTGTGTGTGTGTGTGTGTGTGTGTGTGTGT